AAAAAAAATTAAAAAACGATAAATCGAAGAAAAAAGCAAAGCAATATATATCCAAAACATGGCTTGAAAGTGAGCATGGTCACGACCAAGCGATACCCTACATATGCCAACAATGAGACAAAGAGGCTGACATCAAAGGCAAAGCTGGGCCTGCGAGTGTGTGCATGTATGTGTGTAGGTGTATGTGTGTTCCTTTAACTACAAGCATGAATCGCCTCATTTTGAATGGACTACAAAAGCGCATCGGATCGTCAAAAAGGGTAAAATACAAAAGTGAAAATCATTTTTTTTTTTTAAGGTAAAAAGACGAAGCCACAAGAAGAAGATGAAGAAGAAGTAAAGAAGCAGAATAAAAGACGAGCACAGCAACAAAACCAAATACGCAAAATACAAAGCGCAGCCGCAGCAGGCAGAAGAAGAAGAAGCAGCACAAAGAAGTAGCGATATATGAAATTTAATTGGTGTGCGTGTGGGGGGTAGGGGGAGGAGGGGGCGCGGTTTGTGGAACAACATGTTGATTATCATCAAAGGCGAAAGAAAGTAAAAACATGCCAAGTGGGTCAAAAATTGCGCCGTCATAAGCGCGCCACAGTCACACGCACACACACACACACACGTACACAGACAGACGTGAGTAATACAAATGCATAAATGAACGTCAATTACATAGTCAGATGCAAATGCACACACACACATGCACATTTCAACAGTTTGCGCTGTGCTTAAATTAAATTTACAGCAAATCACAATGCCTCACAGATAAAAACACACACTTGCAAGCCGACTGGATACACATGCATATACATACATAGGCATGCATCATACTCATCTGAAGTCATCGCCTGGGAAAACCAATCTTAAAATTATTATGTTTCATACTTCTATAATGTGTGTGTGTGTGTGTGTGTGTGTATACAGTTCTAGCTGTACTCTATGTATGTGTATGGCATTTTAGTTAATGTGTTTTGTCTGGAATTCCCATACTTGCCTGATAGATGGCGAATGTTGCAGGTTCTCATTAATTGAAATCAATAAACTTGCAAAATTTAAATTTGGAATAAATGTAAGTATGGGAAAACTGAATTTTGACTAAGACGATATCTGAATATTGAGTGATTTAAAGTTTGCCAGCCTTACTCCGCTCTAAACTCTTTGTTGCAGTCTACACTCAGAGATATATTCATTTGAGAATCTATGCCTAAATGCAACGCGTGCATACTTTTAGCACAGACTGTGCTCCAATCAAGCTATGCCTAAAATAGAAGTGTTAATTGTGAATGAACTATTTGCGGCGTTACGCTGAGCGCTGAGAACGCGTAGAATGACAAATATAATGCAAAGCTGGGAAAACTAATTTAAAATAGAGCAAAGCAACAAAATAGCGAACGGGAAGATACCCTGTAAAGTTTCATTTCGAGCTATGTTAAATTCGAAATAGCGCTATTACGAAATCAAGCAACTCGACGCTGTTACAGATAATATTTATTTTACTTTTTGCCAACTATCACACACACACGCACGCACACAGAGATTTTGCCCCGTTGAAGCATTTTCAATGGGTATCGAAACATCATTGAAACTCTGCGACTGTTTGCCGTAGCAAGTGCAAAGTGCAAAACGGACGACAACTGCACGACTCTGTGTGCGTGTGTGTGTGAGAGTGAGTAATAGATTTTGATAAAGCACACGAAATGCAACAATAACAGCCACTGTAACAGCGCCAGCAACAGGCGCAGGCGCAGCAACATTAGCGTGCGCAGCGACGCGCGCATTACAGTACGAGAGAGAGTCAATGCCGCTAACTTGCAACGGGCTGGAGAGAGCGCGCGCACTCTCTCTAAAAAAAAAGTAGAAAACGCAATAGCAACAACAATACTGCTAACTGTAATAGCAGCAGTAACCACCCCACCACGCACGAGCTTCACAAATTCGCTATTGTTGTTGTTGTTGCCGTTTTGCTGTTGATGCGTGACTGAGTCTCTCGCACTGCTGCTGCTTCTGCTGCTGGCTGCTCTGTTGCTGCCTGCGGCCGCTGCTGCTGCGCTGCTCTTGGATGCTTCGACTGCTGCTGATACTGCTGTTGTTGTCAATTCATTCAGTACGCGCCGATCGCTCCAAGATCGGTCGTCAGTTTGCAGCGTATTTTTCTTTCCAAAACTGTTTTTTTTTTTTTCACTTTCTGTTGTAATTCTGTTTAAAGTTGGTTGTTTATTCACTTTTTTCTTTAAACCCGGTCTCTTTTTCTGATCGACTTTTTTTTTGGTGTTTTCTTTTTTGTTGGTTTTTTTTTTTTTTTTTTTTTTTTTTCTTTTTTTTTGGTTTTTTTTTTTTTTTTTTTCTTAATCGGGAAACAGCCCTCGACGCAGTGGTCCGGCTTGATTTTATATAAAAATTGAAGCTACACAAAGGCAGCACTTAGTCTGGTTCAGTCAGTGGGGGCTGCCAAGTGTAACAGTCACTCACACTCACACACACACACACACACACACACACTGGAAAGGTGTGTCAGCAACTGACCGGCAACTGCAGCATCCAAGAAGCAGCAACAACAACAGCAGCTGGAGCATTAATCACTGTGAAACACCAAAAGTAAGCAAATAAATTGAATTGAATTGAACTGTGTGCGAACGAGAGAGACAGAGAGTGCAACAGCAGAAGAACGTTAATGCGCCTGCAGTGTGAGTGAGGAGGTCATTCGTGATTAACATATACATATGCATGTACCTTAACATTAGCATTAACATTAACATTGTGGCGACTCTTTAGCGTTCACATTTTCGAATGCAAGCGAATCGCAACGAGTTTTAATACCCTGTACGCATTGAAAACTATTCACTAAGGCTGCTTAGTGCATGAGTCAGTATATTAGATAAAATTCAAGTTAGACTATAGAAAACATTCAATATATATACTGGGTATTTTCAGTGTGTACCCCAAACACTTTTTTGTGCAAATACATGAAGAGGATAGTCCACATGCATGCAGGGTAATCGCCACGTCAATCACTCTCCACCAGTGCACTCTTACTTGTTTTCAGAATGTTTTGTGACTGGTCAAGGGAAATGTGCAGTCGCTCCAGTTTTGGAGCAAAGCACGAACCAGCGATAAAATCTGGGACACGTGATCGAAACAAAGGTCGGCCCATATATGATACGAAACGAAACGATACTCTCCATACAGAAAATTCTGTCCGTCCATCCGTCCATCTGTCCGCCTATCTGTACGTCCAGGTGTCAGACACTCCTCAACGTTTGTTTTTAGTACCATGCGAAGCCTCAGAACCTGTTCTCTGTGCCGCTTTCTGAACTATATACAGTTTAACAAAAACAGAAAAAATAGATTCAAAAAAAAAAAAAAAAAGTAAATAAAATAGACTCTATAATCTGTACAGCTCGTCTAAAGCTAATTAACACAATTGCGTGCTAACCAAAGGCGATAACAATTTCGCAACGCCACAACGTTTTCTACGCCCGAAATTTTAAAGAGCGGAAGATTGATTCTGGATCTGATTCAGATTCAGTGCGAATGCAAACATAAAGCTGAATAATTTCTATAAATTTATACTTTAGACAGTGTGCATATATAATTCATTCGTCTCGATATTACGCTAATGCCCCTCGCATACAAATCAATCAAACAAATTTTTGGCCTCCATCAGCACAATATGATATTGTACTTCTCTCCCATTTTAAGCTTTACCGACTTGCATATCAAATCGTTTATTATCAGCTCGATGGATTGACACACATTCAAACACAAATTCAAATGTTTTGTATGAAAATTATATAGATTACTCATATACAAGAGATATACATGATAATGTATAGAATTTAGGGTCTCAACTTTTTTAGATATACGCTTTAGTTTAATTTCCAATTGCCATCACTTTACTTCGTAGTTCTCCAAAAATATTCCAAAAAAACTCATACCCAAAAGTAATTACAAATTATACAACTTTCTAAGCAGCCTAAAAGTTTTTCAAACACCCCCGGAAGTAGCTGAATAGTTATCCAACTAAGTTATATAATGTTGATATCGATTCACTTACAGTTTGCACACGTTTTCGATTATTCGGAATATTTAGTTGCCCAATATTTCACAGTTTCTGTAGCTAGAGATTCTCGACTGATAAATGCAAAATATTTTTGGATGTAGAATTATCTGTTGAACACGCCTACTGGGGACTCACAGACGACATTAGAGACATTTTAGAGACAGGCGGCTAGATGGAGGAAAATTTACACTCGTGTAGACCGCCCACAGTTAAACATGTTAAGGTATATCCCATGGGGGGCGTGGCAGAGCGAAAAACAAAACAAAAAATACAAAATATATATTACAAGAGGTAGAATCAATCAGCAGATTTTTAGCTATTGAACTTTACTTTATAGATAGATATCGGATCGGGAACGCGTATTATGTTCTTAGCTTTTTTTCATAATATGCATACATATATCTATTTAATATAGATAGATATTTTAATTCAAGTTCAAACGAAATTGAGACAATTAGCTGTCAATTTTAGCCTGATTTTTTCCATAGAGCTGCTGACCCAAATACCCAGCAAAGCGTCACTGACTGGGGGTAGCTGGGCGTGCTAATTACTTTCGAGCACTTGACTGATCAGTATCAAACGTTGTTATCATTGCACAGATATTGCTGACAACTGTTAACTGTAGGCTGTTAACTGATTGCTGATAAGATCGATAGCAACATGAATCATCGATCGCTGCTGCTCTGGATGCTGTTTGGCTCGCTGCTGGCCTTGGCCGTGGCGGAGGGCAACTCAAACGCCTCATTGATCTGGAATGTCTTGGGCGATCAGAGGGATGTGAATGACATTCCGGTGCGGTATGATGACACGGAATTGTGGCGTATTCACAACATTAGCGATGCATTGCTCCGGACCGTACCCGTCGCCGAGATAATGGAGCAAAAGTTTGGCGCCAACATTTGGAAGGAAAATCCCGATTATTTGGACCTGTCCATTACCAAGGCGCAAGCGAATGCCGCACGCAGTTTCCTCAACGCCCATCGGATGGACACTGAGGTACTGGCCAGAAACGTCCAGGATCTCATCGATGAAGAGCAACTGGAAGGTATTAGAGCCACCCAGTCAAAACTAGGACGCCGCACAAGTGAGTTGGGCATCTAATGAAATTAAATCTAGAATTGCGCTCGACTTACATCGATTACTTCAATCAGGGAAAGCCTTAAACAGTGGCAGCGAAATGAACTGGAATGATTACCAGTCTCTGGAAACCATATATAATTATATGCGCGAAATACGGGCAAAATATCCAAACATCTGTCGTCTCTACACCATTGGATATACGTATGGAAGACGCGAATTGAAAGTCTTGCGGTATGTTAAAAGTCTAAATTTGAATTACCCTACAGAAGCATATAGAGTATATGTATACATATAGTATCACAAAATCCACACATTTGCATCAGCACACAATAACATAGCTGAATTTAACAGTGACGCTGTTAAGTTAACAGAGCACGTATTTCAGCTACAGCTCGAAAGTATGCAACGCAAATTTTTAGCGGCTCACGGCTGCCAAATGCTAAATTAACATTTTGTGTCGGTGCTTAGAAGTATGCTGCATAAATTATTTACTATGCTAAGCTAACATTGCGCTGTCAATGTCTTGACAATTTGACAAACAGCAGCTGAAGAGTATTTAACATAACTCGCCTAAACCTAGACTTCGATTGCATTTTTCTGTTTTGCAGCATCTCGGAGAATCCGCGCGACAACAAAAAGATTTGGATCGATGGTGGCATCCATGCACGTGAGTGGATCAGTCCCGCAACGGTGACCTTCATACTTTCTAAGCTGATGCAAGACTGGGAGCATCAGCCAAGGTATATTCGCGAGCGGACTTGGTACATAATGCCAGTCATGAATCCGGATGGCTATGAATATAGCCGCACGGTGAATCGACTGTGGCGAAAGAATCGTTCGCCATCGGTGCGAGCCAATTGCTTTGGCGTCGATTTGAATCGCAATTTCGATATTGGCTGGACTAGCCCGGGTTCCTCGAAGGATCCATGCAGCGATATCTACCGTGGCTCTGCACCCAACTCTGAGCTCGAGACGAAGGCGGTGGCCGAGTTTCTGAGCAAGCGCAAATACAATTTGGAAGCGTATCTAACCTATCACAGCTACGGCCAGCTGATCGTCTATCCGTGGGCCTTCAAGGCGGTCAAGGTGAAGGATTCGAATGTCCTGCAACGCGTCGCTAACACTGCTGCCGAACGCATCATTCAAAAGACTGGCACCCCCTACAAGGCAGCCGTCACCCACGAGGTCCTTGGCGTTGCGGGCGGCGGCTCTGATGACTGGAGCCGTGCCGTGCTGGGCGTGAAATATGTCTACACCGTTGAGTTGCGCGATCGTGGCCAGAACGGCTTTGTCCTGCCACCCAAGTACATCAAGGACACGGCGGTCGAGGGATGGACTGTGGCCGAGACAGTTGCCCAGGCCATTGGCTAACCAGGGGTATTCCCCTCTGCAGCTACGATCTATAAGTGTGTGAGTGCGCCTGTCTGTGTGAATGCTTATTTATGTATGCATGTACATTGTACATATGTAAAAGATAAAGAAAAAATATATATATATATACTGTACCAAATTAAAATTGATATAGAAATCCTTATTTTGTTGCTTTATCTTAACGAGAGCTGAATCAGAGCTGAATCATGACTTATATAGACTAAAATTATACTTATACATACTACATAAGCATGTACATGTTCCCTCTCAGTCCCTCAATCGATCCTGTCTAGAGATGCACAACCTTTGATTCCCTCCTATAATCGACAATTATCAAAAACCTCGGTACCAAATAAGCTGGCGAGGTAAAGATAGACAAACAAATTGAACTAGTTCCTAAACACAGAAGTAAGACAACAAGTGGAAACAGGTCAACTCATAAATGTCATCGTAAGGCGAGCGGAACGAACTTATAGAACTCTAATAATCTCTAATAATAAGCTCATAATCTAGCTTATTAACAAATCAATAATAAGCTGTGACATTAACAGACAGAGAAGTCATATTGAACTGGATCATGAGCAACTTATATAAACAGACACTGGTAGCGAGATTTAACTAGACCAAAACTAGTTCATAATCGACAATGTTATCGGCTCAAATCGAAAATCAATGCATCATACATATTGATAGGCAAACAATACAAATATTCTCACCGTATCCTCGTCGTCATCGGTGTTATCCACTTGCTCCAGCTGCAGCTGCCGAGCCAAGGTGCCTCCGCCATTGTGCGTATGATTATGGAGATCCTTGGGCGTGGACTCCTCAGAGATGACCGACTCTGAGGGCAAATTTTCGACAAATGCCACAAAATTGGTCAGCGGCTCAGCGGCTGTCGGTGGCGTGGAGGCTGTGGAGTTGCCCAACGATGTGACCTTATTATTAGTCGCGTTGACTTTGGCTTGGCATGGAGACTTGGTGCTGGATTTAATGGTGCTCATAGTGGTGGTGGTCGTGGTGCTACTGCTGATGCAGCGGGAGTAGCGTGTGTTTAGCTTGATGCTGTTCTGTGGCGATGCCAACGATTGGGGCGAGGGCGTGGTCGAGGGCGTCTGCCGTTGACTTCTGGTGTCACCATCCCCATCGCCATCGATGTCCCCATCGCCATCGCCGTCGCCTAATCGCAGCTGTTGTTGTATAAGACGCTCGGCTTCCAGCAACAGCTCATCTACGGAACGCATGTCTGAGCTGTCTGCAAGGCGGTTCACCTCCTGGAATATCGTTTCCGGATCGGCGGGCTCCAGGCTGCAGTCCTGCTCCTTGGCCAGAAACTCTATGATCGAACTGCTGCTGGTGTAGTCTAAGACACTGCTCAAATCTCCATTGATGGCGTCTGTGTGTCCATTGCTTACATTCTCGCTGTCCGCCTGCCGGGGGCGAGGGCGTGGACGTGTCGACGCCATGGGCTGCACCTTAGACATTTTCCAGTTGCAGTTGCAGTTACAGTTGCACCTGCTCTCACTCTTACTCCCACTCCCGCTGTCTTCGCCCCCTCTCGCTCGCTCTCCTCCACTGGCTGCTGTTGTCTTTGCACACACGCTCACGCACATACACACACAGCTGCAGTGGCGCTGCGTTTTGTTTATTTGTTTTGCCTTGTTGTTGTTCCTCTTGTTGTTGTTAGTTCTTTTATTTTATGAATTTACTGCCTGGACGATAGTCTTATATCTGACCGCCAACGTTGCCGTCGTCGCGCACTATTAGATCTTAACAGCAATTTATTTGTAAAACTAAAAAATTAAAAACTACTTGTTTTTCTCGTTTAATTTTTACGCTCGCATTATTTTTCCGTCTTGTTTGTACAATTGCCATAAATTACGACTACTGCTGCTTTTGACATTCGCCCGTTCACGTATTCACTCCACATCTAGCAGAGTGACTCCACCTATAACAGAAGGCGCTGTTATTAACAGTTTTATATATTCAAATTTTATCAAAGAGCAAATAAGAAAAAACTTAACATTTTAAAATATTTTTCTAATTCGATTGCAACTTTGCTCTAATATATTTTAGATTAAGAGCCTACGTTACAATCAGTTGAGTAAATTTGCTGAAATTAATATAACATTTTCTCAGACAAATGCAAATGCAATAAAAAATATAGTCCCTAAAGGTTCTTTTGCAAAAATTTAATAAAAAGCGGACAAATAATTTTCTTTAAATTTTATTTTAAGTTTTTTTCAAGAACAATTATCATATATATAGATATATATACATTTATAGTGTTTAAAGGTATTCTTAAATATATAGATTTTTCACATTATCCACAAATTTTAAAACAAAAAATAAATACATATATAATTTGTTCCCGAAATTGTTTTTTTCTTTTACATAGATACATATATATATACATATATATTTATATATCTTGTTTTTATCTCAGTTTTAATCATAAATATGACATTTTTAGATTTCTTTTTAGTTTATCTTTTATAATTTTAAACATACACATACATACATTGTTTTCTTTTTTCGTTTTCTTTTCTATTTATGGATAAAGTTTGTTGTGTTACTTAAACACTAAACGCATAAAATATTTATATATTTCTTGTTTTTCTCTTCTTCACTCTATACATGTACAAGTGTGTGTGTGTACTAGTTACAAAAAAAAAAAAAAAAAAAAAAAAAAGAATATTATAAGTGTAATAGTAAAAAATGGATTAAATAATAACTAGTTTTGCTCAGAATAAAATCGTTGGAAAAAACAATATGTACATTGGATTACGTGTAAATATATAATAATAATAATTATAATTATTTGCGTAATAATAATTGCTAGTATTGCTTATGACTATATAACGTACACATTATCAGTAGTTAATTTGGATCTTTGAGTGTTTGTCTGTGTGTTGCGTGTGTATGTGTGTTGTGTGTGTAGTTAAAACGCTGACCATGCTCATGAAATTTGCTATCACTTTTTGTTTTTTTGTTGTTGTTGCGGTTTTTTTCTTTTTAAATACAATAAAATATTGCAAAGCTAAGCTAAAACCCAGGACAGAGCCGAGCAGAGCACAGCATAATTCTATACATATATAAACACATATATATATATATCTATATATATATATATATTCATTCACATACATATTCGTAAATAAATAATTAACCGTCATCTATTACAAAACAACATAAATAGTTATTAATTTGGTGGCAGGGTTTTAGGTGGATGGCATTTAGCTATCCATAGATTTGGCTTCATGCTCATCCAGCATTGATTATCTGTGACTGCTGTACGTCTTGAAGACACGCGGCATGCCGCTGCTGCTGCTACTGCCGCCAGTGCTGCTGCTGCTGGTTGTGGTGTTTGTGCTGCTGCTGCTGTTGCTGCTGCTATTTGTGTTATTGTTGCTCACGGCCGTGCTGCCGGCCGCCTCTTGCGCCTGCTGTTGATGATGATGATGATGCGTCGTCGTCTCCAGATTGAGTGGCATCGGCATCGTATGATCCTCATCAGCATGCTCATAGATATAATCACGCTTCTTGAAGTTGTCAATGATCTTCTTGGTGGACTTCATGTGCGCCACAAAGGCAGCCTCCAACTGCAGGAATTAACCAAAAGTCATTTATATAGATTATGGGTATTTCTGGATATGGGAATAGGCTTTACGTACACTGGATGTCAGATTCATAAAGGTGTGATATTTCTCCAGGACACCGATGATCTCCTTAAAGCTATTGCCTCGCAGTTGCTGTCGCACAATTGTTTCATTCTGCTCATTGTCCGTGATCAGGTTGCCGATTAATATCGCCGCATAGCTGCCCTTTAGCGTGTGCTCCATGTGATGGCCGGCGCGTTGCACAACTGTAAATTTTTGCAAAAATCAAATTAGACTCATTTTGTATATGCATATACCTATAATATATATGTATATATATATATAGGATCTATATCGACACCTAGTTAGCTCTCAATCTGCACTTGCATAAACTATATTGTTTATATGTTTTCCTACTCTTACTCTATACTTCTCTCTCTCTCTCCCTCTCTCTCTCTTTCTCTTTCTTAGCTAAACCTTTCCGCTTGCTCAGAACTGTCTCAATTTCCATAGAATTGTTGTATTTACCGCCCACCTCAAATATCGTATTCTTTTGTAAATATTCAAAGTCCATTTCTTTGTAAATCTATATATCTTGGCCTGGCTTCAATTACCAGCCCTGCCCAGCTGGCTGAGTGGAATGTAAGCGAGACACTCAAATTTCAACGCATGTGGATGGTGTTTACGCAGAAGCGAATCAATATAAACAAATGGACAGCTTGCTGGCTGATATTGATTCCCGTCTGTCGATCGGTATGGGACTTACGATTGTTGACCGTCTCCTCGACCTCCTCCTGCTTCTTTTTGCTCTTCTCGTTGCTCTCCAGGAAGGCATCCGTGTTCTTCTCCACCAATCTGCAAGCGAACGGTAATTAGTTGATGAAGAAATCAAATTACGAATCTTCTAACGCACCTGGCTAGCTCCTCGCACTTGTAGAAGTACTCGAGCAGCGCCTGCACCGCGCTGACGGCCTGATCACCAGGCGTTGGATTGTCCGCCACGTATTCGGCAGGCGCAGTCGCCTGCATCAGCGTGGCGCGATTCGGCGCCGTGTGCATGCACAAGTTAATCAGCAGGGTGAGCACCTGGAGGAGACACAAATGACAAATTCGAATATGAGTATGCTATGACGAGGCATGGGATTCAGCGTATGACTGGCCAGTGCGACTCACCAATATGCTCAGCTCGAAGACGCAGCGATCCGGAATGTAGTTGGATGCGAGCAGCAGCAGATGGAAGCTCGTCTCGATGACATCGCTCCGTTTGCCCAGCAGCTCGGCGCCCAGCGAGGGCTGCGCCTCGTTGAACGTGTGCGTCAGATTGATGAGCACCTTCATGACGGGTATCAGCAGCTCACGCATCGCCACGCCCGGATGCTCTTTGCTGCTGCTCTGCTCCGCTGTCGACGGATGCAGCAGCAGCTGTCGGTCGCAGAGGCGATAGAGGAAACACAGCGTGTCCACGGCCCGACCGTTGGCATAGGTGAGCATATACCGTTGGTTCGCCTCGTTG